AGATTGTGAGTCCTTGTGACGTGAAGTAGAACATTCTATGAATGTGTTATATATATAATATGCCAAATTTTAAATTAATGATACTGATAGCTGAGCATGTGAATTATGCCACAATATAATTTCATTTTCTGGTTTTGAAATAGCCGGCAGTATTTTACTTCAACAAATGTAATATACATGGAATGCATGTTGTTATGTTATGTTAAAAGTTTAATAACAGCAAACAGAAGGGGCTGTTTCAGCAGATAATGTTTGTACCTTATGCATTACCTTTCTTTTCTGCAGGACTATGCTTCCGCTGGGTGGTCGACATTTGCCTCCTGAAGAAGTTGAGCAACATGAAGACCACCAGATGAGGTGTCTGCGGTTCATGTGGAACTCTGCAGACTACAAGTGTTATGCCAACCACAACCAAAGTGCTGTGATCATGGAGGCATGAACCTCATGACAACACTTCATATTTGCATTTGTACCAAAGTGTGATTCAAACCACCTGTGGCATCTCACTCAATGTGTGAACAGTGTGATCATTGTGCAGTGTTCAGCTGCAACTAAGACATTTATTAGTGACTTGTTTTGCAATTAGCCACCAAAAGCATTTTTGGGCTGGCTGCTGTAATTTGTTGTGCACTGCGCAATAGTGGTAGTGTTTTGTCACTTGTCAAGTTGTCAGTTGTGCATGTTGCATGTTTCTCTTCCCTCGGCCCTCATTATCAGTTAAGTGGTGAATTGGCATCACTCAGTCTCCCCAGATCTCCATTGACTGTCTGTCAACCACCTAACTTGAGATGGTATTTGCTAATAGTGTCAGAAAAGAAGTGATTGTAGACATTTTTAGGAATATGAGCTCCGTTTCATGCGTGTTGCAGTGGTCATTTTGTCACTTGTCCCATAGTGTAATAAATGGAAACTGTTGTTTCCTTTTCAAGGTACTCGCGGATGCAGAAAGCGTTGGGCCTAATTATTAAACGCACCCTTCTATCAGCGACGCACGAAATCGACAAATATCATCCTTTTTAGAGCAGGAGGAAACGAAAACTTGTGAACATAGCTGTACCTACAACAGTGCATAAGGAATTGGAATTCTGGGAGTTTTTGAAATTCGGAGAAACAAGTTGTCGACGGGTATGCCCCCTTGTACGTCAAAGACCGCCTAAAAAACAAACGTCTACAAATGAAGGCAGTATTCGTATGTTCGTTGTAATTGCAGCAGCCTAGCAACATGCATTGCGGTCCGATGGCGAATTACACTCGTGCTAAAAAACTATGCCGGTAACTGCCAACGTACTTAGGTCGTAGGTGAGGAGAGGAAGGGTTATGTCAAATGTCAACATCAAAGAAATGGCTTCATCTGAGCCGTGCCTATTGTACATAATTCAACCAATCTATGCATTTCGTTTCTTGCAATCTACTCATGCTTTCACTCCAGCTTCAGAGTAATCATCCCATATTGTACGTCTTAAGATATTGATTTCTATGGCAGTTCGCAATTGCTAGCCACGTCTCACCTCAGTTTGGTGGCCCCGCATCGGCCCACTCGGCCGCTCTAAAATTGACTTACGGAGGAGGATGGTGGCTTTTATTTTAGCTTCTCCGCTGACTGCGGGGAGCGCCGTCGCCGAGGTTGGAGCAATAATTAGCTTAAGTTTGGGACTAATTTCCACGCTTAATTAACATTTTAATGTTATTTTAATTAATTCATGTTAATCTTGGACGCATTCTCTTTCTATTGATACCATCCACCGGTCTGAGAAGTACTGCCTTGCTGCGTAAGGGCCGATAAAAGATCACGCTTTTAGGGGTATCTCTTTAACATGGGGCAGGAGCAATAAATAGAGCGCTCTAATTTTAGCTTATTTCCCTGGAGTGTCACCAACTGACCTATCCCGTCCACCGCATTGGCGCCGTGGCCGTCTATAACCAAAAACATGTTAAGTTTTGGCAATAACCAAAATATTTAACGTTAAGTAACGATAATTATTTTTAATTTCCAGCATAGGTGCATTCCGCGGTAATCCTACCAAAACCCAAGGCAACTCGCTGCATTGAAAAGGACAAGGTACCTATAAAGCTGTGCTGTGCTTTATGACAAGCGTACAGAAAAACAAATGTATAATAGTGGGTGGCTGTACTCACCAAAGAAGAAAACGGCGCCACCCCTATCAATTCGATCGTGCTTTGACCTGAACTGCCTCCCATGTTTCAGCACCCGTTATTAATTGTAACACTAGCGCTGCCACAATCATTGCGCCGATTAGTACGCAATAAGCACACCACCGCTAGATCACGTCCCTCTCCCCGCACACACAGAACACAACTGACCGAGAACGCAGACGCACCGACTACCGAGCCACCGGAGCCGCTACGTTCACATGAGACGGCCGCCGGCCTCCCCCTCCCCTCCCCCTCCCTCGGAGACGGCCGGCCGTCCGACCAATCAGCACGCAGGAACGAGAGGCGTCGCCGGCGGGCAGAGCGCGGGGATGCCCCCGGGCTGGGAAGCCTACCAGCTTCTCACGGCTGTCAAGGGAATGTCCCCGGGCTGGGAAGCCTACGAGCTTCTCACGGCTGATGAAAACGTGCTAGGTGGTGGTCTATGGATGATGTGTTTCCTATCAGGATGATAACTTTATTAGAGGAAGGATTTACGTAAAATTTTGAAGTAACAGGGATTAACAATCATCCGAGTTCCGAGCATGTTTTGATACATACCTATTTACGGATGTTAAGATTCTGACTTGCAAGCTTAATCTCCAAAAAAGCAGCAATTCAAATACAGTCTTAAAAGCAGGAGATTGAAAAGTGTTCTTGAAATGGTTTCGGAGTCCGGCTGAAGTTAGACGAGATCCCTGTTCAACAGTCATATCTAGGGTTAAAGGAAATAGTTCACTTTTTAACATGGGTTTTGAACTGGAATAGCAGTTCCGTAGCTTGGGCTGAGACGAGCATAAATCAGGAGCTTTTACAGCCCAACGATCACCCTAGGCAAAGATATTCTATTTCTCGTCCCGAAAAAGGTGTCTTGCGTTGAGGATGTGTGCCTTGCATATATTTCCATCCAGTATGAAAAGAGCATGGGTCCCGAAAATTATTCAGAAACTAGAGAAATTATCTACGAGAACTCTAGAGAAATTCTCGTACTGATCAATTAGGACATTCAGGGGAACATTATCAGATCGAGCAGATCGCCCAAATGCCGGTGGCTGCGATAATTTCTCTGTTTCTGAAGAATTTTCGGGACCCATGCTCTTTTCATACTGGATCGCGTGTGCCTTACAGAAACTGAAAAGTTCTTCCTATATCAAAATATAGAAAATAATCTTTTGTTATAAAAAGGTTTTATTTTCTTTGATGATTATTTTGAACATAAAAAATCATAAATCCGTTGCAAAAAAAAAATAATTTCGTGAAAGTGAACTATTTCCTTTAATGATTGCAAGTCCAGTTCCTGTACGGGCTGTCGCCGTCCGGCTGTTAGTTGCCGTCACTGCCCATTGTCACTGCCAACTGCTTCCACTCCGAGCTCCTGTCCGCGCTCCCCCCCCCCCTCCGCCGACCGACCGTTCCACATCACCCCCGCCCCCTCCCCACCTCTCGTGTTCTCGGCTGGACCGCGCCCGCGGCGTCCAGGTCACGTGATCAGCCGACTGGTCTCGCCGAATGAAGAGCGAACGCGATACGAGAGAAGCAGTTAGTGACCACTGAAGCGTCTTCGGCTACCTACTCTCCCATCGAAACACAGTTCGATTGTTTGACGAGAAGGCAGCTTTCAATTTCATAGCAACACAACGAAATTGAATCCAATAAATTTTCCGAATCTCCCGTACCGTCTCATTAGCCGTTTTCAGGACAGGCTATCTGGCAAATGCGCGCAAACTTTATCGAATATAAGCAGATCTTTTTACAGCAAATCTATTATACCAAGAATTTACTTCGACTTTTGTAATCGAATATAAAGTCTGATGATTTGTTTAACCCACGAGCCGCTACTGGGGGGGACATAAAGTTGCCCCCCCCCTTACGTTTTGTGGAATATCTCCGACACCTGATGAGCTACGAACGTGAAACTCGGCATAGCTTCAAATGAATACCTAGGCAATGTTTGAAGAAAGTTTGATGGTTGTAGCATCTAAGATGACGTCACAGTGACGTCATAAAGTTTTGTCGTTTTCCGATATGGACCGTTTCTGATGACGCTGAGCATGAAACTCAACTGTAAATGAACTAGACAGCACCTGCTGTCATCCTAAAACATCTAAGTACACTTCCATCTAGTTCCTAACCAATAATCGGCCCTTTATATTCGGTCCCATATACCTGATGTATCGTGAGGAAATTGAGAGTCGCAAATCTATAATTTGACTTATGACGTCACTGTGACGTCATTTCAAATGGGATCGACACCAAATTTGGACACAACCTCGGCTAGGTACTCAGAAAGATGTGTGCAAAGTTTCGCTTCTCTATCTCTTCGCGTTGCGACGATATCGCCGCGGAAGTAAAGGGGGGCAACTATATGCCCCCCCCCCCCCAGCGGCCGGCGGGTGGCGCGGAGGCCCAGCGGCCGCCGGGTTAATCAGGTATTTAAATGACTTTTGCCGCCTCGACAATGTTGAAGGAAATTCTTTAAAATCGGAAATCACTCTTTTATAAATGAGCTCCAAGTCGAGCGAGACATAAAATACATTTAAACGAGGAGAAGGTCGCTGTGATTTTTTCGGAGGCATTCGTTAGCCGAGTCCCGCCTCTAGTACAAGTGGATGTGTGCGCGACCTCTATCAGTAATCACTGCCTGTCCCCGCCCCTGTACCTTAGTAATCGCCCCCGCCCCCGCCCCCCACCCAATGTCCCTCAGTAATCACTGCCTGTCCCTGCCCCTGTACATTGGTTATCGCCCCGCCCCCACCCAATGTCCCTCAGTAACCACTGCCTGTTCAGTCCACACCCTTCCTTCCACCTTACCTTACCTACAGCACCGTCCACACCACAATACTCTCCCGTCCATTGTCGTTTATTTCTTAAATACATTTATTAACTGTGTTTGTACAAATTAGTGGTGTCAATTTCAGAAAACGTATGTCCAAAGACGGTCCAATGTCCAATGCTTACGTCGACCGTCCGTCCAAAAATGTCCAAGCCAGCCATTTGTCCAAAGATGTCCGACACCTACGCAATAGTTTACACTCAACACTGTTACTTAATTTGCTTTTCATGTACCGTTACAAGCTCAAAAGTCTTAATCATATCGAAAGCTGAGCTTTCTAATAGCCAATCAATGTTAAACACGACTACTTTTGAAAAATGTTGAGGTGTAGCAAGCAATTGTCCAAAGTTGTCCAAAGCCTGCTGCCATTGTCCAACCGAATTCCAAATTGGACATTGGACAAAATCGGAATTCCGAAGATTCAAGTTCCGATTGACACCACTAGTACAAATACATAATACATACGTTGTCGTTTATAGCTAAGGTTCGTATAAATATTTACCTATAACCCCTCACTGTGCAATGTTCATCGCCTGATGTTGCACCACCTCGCCCAGCACTGCCTTGCACTCAAAACAGGGTGTGTTCAGCGGCAGCCGGCAATATAAAGCATTCACTAAATATTTACATACACATTGCAGTCATACATAAAGGCTTCAGTGGTTACACGCAGATTTACACTTTGCAGCACTTCTCTAGAGAGAAGTGAAAGGTACGAAAGGTACTTTTTACGAAGTAAACATATGACCTAAAACAACATTCCTTACAAATCCTGTATACGTCTGCGGAGCTATGTCTGTATACCGACTAGAAGCGCCTAGTTTAAATCAGTGTCGCTGAGCACAACTGACAGTTTCAGTTGGTTTTTCAGTCTCCCATCAGTGGGCCAGACGGCTGCCCATGGACAAAGGCGTGGACAGCTGACCAAGCCGGGCACTTCTCAGTCCAAACACAGGGCACCACGCGCCGAGGACGTCATTTGGCGCACCGGCACTGGTGACGTCACTTAGTACAGGTCGTCGTAGTAGTCGTAGTCGTCGTAGCCGCCGCCGTACCCGCCGCCGTGGCCGCCACCGTAGCCGCCGTAGCCGCCGTGCTTCACGACGATTACACCGCCGCGGTCCCGCTTCTTGCCGCCGCGACCGCGCCGCTTACCGCCGCCTTTCTTACCGTCTGTCGGGGGAGAGGGGGAGGGGGTCAGACGGGGGAGAGGGAGAGAAGCAGCCTTCTCACCGTCTGCCGGGGGGAGAGGGGAGAGTCAGACGGGGGAGAGACGGCCGCTTACCGCCGCCTTTCTTACCGTCTGTCGGGGGAGAGGGGAAAGTCAGACCAGGGAGAGAGAGAGAGAGAGAGAGAGAGAGAGAGAGAGAGAGAGAGAGAGAGAGAGAGAGAGAGAGAGAGAGAGAGAGAGAGAGAGAGAGAGACAGAGAGACAGAGAGAGAGAGAGAGATAGAGAGAGAGAGAGAGAGAGAGAAAGAGAGAGAGAGAGAGAGAGAGAGAGAGAGAGAGAGAGAGAGAGAGAGAGAGAGAGAGAGAGAGAGAGGCGCTTGTAGAGTTTCGAGTTCCTGATGCAGCTAACGGAAGATTGGAGGGGCTGCCTTCCTGATAATTCACAGGCGTGTGTTTGTCACTCAGTAGACCTGAGCGATGCAGCCACAGCCGAGTTTACGGACGAATGGCATCCGTGACATTGTCATGTTCGCTGTGCCCTATCGACCGAGGATTTTCCCCAAGCCCTGAGCGCTCCGTCCCGTCCATCGTTTGCAGTGCATGGTGCAATCCCCGCCTCTTAACACCGACTCTTTTAAGGATGGCGCTCAATGGAATTTGCATTAACCCTCGCCCGCACATGCCATTTTCCCATCCTAGAACGCACATGGGGGGGGGGGTTGCCACCCCCCCCCGCGCCATTTCGTTCCTGTTGGAGATAGAGCTTAGCGGTAAAGACCAAAAAGATTCTTTGGGAAGAGACGAATCCAATAATACCCAGTTTTACCTTCTCAGGTCAGTCATTGACCTTCCAGGTCAGGTCAAACTAAAAAATGTTGCTGTTTTGGATCACCGTTGGATATCAAGTGCGCTGCTTATCATATACCGATGACGATGCCGTTTTCTGGTGCCAAGCCAGCTAGAACCTCTTTGTCACTCTACCCGACCAGGGTTTTGCTGCTGAGGTCATTTCAGGTCAAGTTAGGTCAAGGTCAATTATATGTGTTTGTATGTCTGTGTGTGTCTGTGTGTATACTGATGTGTGCACCGATTGTTTATGTGTCCATATTACATGAAATCATGATCTGAGAAGCTTTTACCAAAAATGCAGTAAAAAAAATTCACAAAAAGTAATTTTCGCTTCCCTAAACGCAATTATCTTAGATGACCTAGGTTGACCTCGACCTTGACCTTGACATCTGTACATCGTCGAACAACATGTTCCATGATAGGTGGGAGGTAAGACTGGCAAAAAAATGCCGAAATCAAGGTGTCAGAAGTTCACAAGGCCCATAGCCAACGCAAGATGTTGAGAATTGGCCATTTGGGTCATGACATGACCTGAAAAACAAGGTCATATCTCCGAAGCCAAAAAAAAAACAGAAACTTTCAGTGGACATCAAGAAAGGATAGAGGAGCAGCTATACGAAAAATCAGTCTTCTAGCTCTAAAAATGTTGAGTGCAGAGCAGAAAGACTACCTGGGGGGGTGGCAACCCCCCCCCCCCCCATGTGCGGGCGAGGGTTAATATGGCTTGAGGAGACATTGTTCAGGTACCGAATTTCGGAGAATTCCGTCTTTCCCCGAGGAATAATCGTGCAAGCTTGTAAGCCTGGTTCACGGCCGATGCGGGCGTCCTTCTCCGCGCTCGTGGCCTGCACGAATGCACCTATCTTGATCTCTGACGTTCTCCAAAGTTTTGGTCGCTGCGGTTGCCGGTGGGGTGCTGCCGCTGCCGCACGGTGGTCTCTGACATCTGAGGGTGACCCCCGGCTGGTAACAGGGGGGGGGGGGGGTTGGGGGGGGGGGGCGCCGGGGTGTCTGGTGAGCGCCCGGCTCCGCGCCGGTACATACCGGTCGGTCGAGGGCCGGGGGCCGCCGCTCCCGGTTTTTGTCACCGATTTGAGGTGTGCCGGTCGAGGTCAGGTCACGGGGCACGCACCCGGTCGGCGCCGGTACCGGGCTCACGTGGGCCGATCGGAGGGCTGGTGGCGAGGATCGTATCACACTGGAGGTGAGCCATTCTGGCACTCAGTGGCTCAGTGGGCACTGGGCACAGCTGCAGTCATGGCCGCAGCACGCCTCCGACTCTCCGCTCTTGGGATTGACAGACACTCAACACACATTTCTGTGTTTGGAGAGTCACTGTTTTCAACACGCTCATCCATTCATATAGCCAGTATCCTGTTATCGATTCATGACTGCTCCGGGAAACGTAAACAGAGATTGAAATCAATAAATCAGTGTATGATAGGTTATTGAATATTGATGCAACGCATTTATTCAATCGCCACGCGTGAAGAGGAAATTGTCGGCTTTACCTCAGTGATTCTGTCAAGGTAGGTATGTATTAATTAGTCAAGTGTTCGTTGATTAAATGTTTTTAACCTGTTTTTACTGTTTTTTTTATATTTTGTGGTCTTTCAGACTAAAAATATTCAACTCATTTCGATGAATACAAAATAATGACTAGGTACAGGGTGGGCCAAAAAAAGTATGTCACTTTTCATCAGTAATTTCTCGAAAGTGGTAAGAGATACGAAAAAGAAACTTTCACAACTTAAAGAAAATCGTTTGACAAATTATATGATATCAATTTTATGGAAAAACTTTTAATCGAATTGAAGTTGCCATCATCATTTCAAAAATGGGATCTGTGCATCTCTTTATTTGCGCATGTGCTCGAAGTGGGCACCGCCAAGCTGAAGGCCATCTGAACGCGCTCCAGGAAGCTGACGCTCACCCTCTCCGCGGTGTCTGCTGGCACTTCACGCACGTACCATGATCGACGCTGACACGCAGCTCCTCCAGGCTACCGGCTTGTTGCGATAGACGCTGTCCTTGCAGGCTCCCCAAAACCAGTAGTCCAGCGGGTTGAGGTCAGGACTGTGAGGAGCCCACTGCTTTTCGCTTCCCTTGGAGATTACACGGCAACCGAAGAGCTCTTGGAGCAGTTGCAGTGTCTCTCGGGCCGTGTGCGGTGGCGCTACATCTTGCATGAACAAAGCTTGTAGCGTGATCACCAGGGGAAGCGAAAAGCATCCTCACAGCCCTGACCTCAAACCGCTGGACTACTGGTTTTGGGGAGCCTGCAAGGACAGCGTCTATCGCAACAAGCCCGGCGGTAACCTGGAGGAGCTGCGTCTCAGCGTCGAGCAGTACGTGCGTGCAGTGCCAGCAGACACCGCGGAGAGGGTGGGCACCAGCTTCCTGGAGCGCGTTCAGACGTGCCTTGAGCGTTGAGGTGCCCACTTCGAGCACATGCGCAAACATAAAAGACGTACATATCCCATTTTTGACATGGTGATGGCAACATCAGTTCGAATGACACTTTTTTCATAAAATGGGTATCATATAATTTGTCAAAGGATTTCCTTTAAGCTGTGAAAGTTTCTTTTTGATATCTCTTACCACTTTCGAGAAATAGCTGCTGAAAAGTGACACACTTTTTTTGGCCCACCCTGTATATGCATACAAGTATATAATTCATATAACTACATAAGATGTTGACATTGTCTTTGTTTCCACCATCAATATTCGCACTCACATCAATTTTCATGGTTAAATCATGAGTGCCTTGATTTCGTAAGCATCATTCAATTCACACATGTATACCTATGGTAGCAACTAGAAAACGGGAAACCGGATTTCTCTCTTTTCCCGCGGTCTTGTGGTTGGAAAGCATAGTTTTTCACGTAAAATGTAAAGCAGCTTCCTTCCAGCAAGCAACGAAGAGGACAATACTGAAGAGGATGATTTTTACGGTGAATGGGACTCCCACGAAAAAGCAAAAAAAGTCCCCCACTTTTGCGACATTTTTTTATGTCCGTAAACATTTCACTCCGCTGGCTCCGAGACCTCCGTGCGAATCTGGCGGCGGAGCTAGACATTGCCTCAGCGGCCGGAAGCCATTTGGAAATACCCAATTAGTGCAACACTTTTCACAGCAGAAGAACATGTGCATTGTGCTATTATAACGAATGGGCTGCTCTACTGGCCGTGCGGATTGCAGCTGACCAACAGAGGGGATCCAGTTTGTTGATTTGTGGTTTGTTAGTTGGATGGCCACGAGCCCCACGCACTCATTCAATGGGAGGCTTATTGATGTCAGTCTTCGTTTACATTCCGACTCAATGACCCACGCATATTTTGACGTCACACTGACGTCATCTCAGGGACGAGTCAGGTAACATTGACGAGCTGCCTGGCTCAGTTCGGGGCCAGTTTTTACTGCACGTGCTGTATGCGGGTGGTATGAGCACTGCGCCGCTGGGTCGGCACGCGTGAATGAAGCAGCAATGTCGTCTGCACATCGGCGGCCGGGTGCAGTGTTCCCATCAGCTATACGTTTGGCTGCCATGTGTCGTCACATAGCGCAGCTGCGCGGTACGAACAGTTTTAACACAACTCTGACTGATCTACTATATTTTACATAGTTCAACTATAGAAAACGTCAGACTGCCAGCGTGACATGTTCTGCAATGATTTCAGCTATATAGCTATTTTTACATGGCATGACGTAAAATGGGCATTGAACGGGGTTGATGGCCCAGTCGCGGCGGAACACCTTCAATTAAGGGGGGGGGGGGACACTGCCGACTTTAGGTCCCATTCTTTCCATGCAACGCCCATAGGGCTTATGTTAAAATCCCAAAATCAAAGGGGTGCCATAGAGTATGGATAACAAAATGTCAAGCATAGCTGGCAATAGGACACTTGTGATGTCTTTACTACTTCAGATGCTAATTCTAAAAAATTTAGATATCGTAAGGAAGGACAATTGGCACCACATGGGATGGGAACTTTGCATGCTCTACTCACTGTCGTACAGCCAGAAGGGCGGGTCGTTGGACACGGCGTGGTGGTGTGTTTACTGTCCGTCTTGGTGTACTCACTGTCGTACAGCCAGAAGGGCGGGTAGTTGGACACGGCGTGGTGGTGGGTTTACTGTCCGTATTGGTGTACTCACTGTCGTACAGCCAGAAGGGCGGGTATTTGGACACGGCGTGGTGGTGGGTTTACTGTCCGTATTGGTGTACTCACTGTCGTACAGCCAGAAGGGCGGGTAGTTGGACACGGCGTGGCGGTGGGTTAACTGTCCGTATTGGTGTACTCACTGTCGTACAGCCAGAACGGCGGGTAGTTGGACACGGCGTGGTGGTGGGTTTACTGTCCGTATTGTTTTACTCACTGCCGTACAGCCAGAAGGGCGGGTCGTTGGACACGGCGTGTTGGTGGGTTTACTGTCCGTATTAGTGTACTCACTGTCGTACAGCCAAAAGGGCGGGTAGTTGGACACGGCGTGTTGGTGGGTTTACTGTCCGTATTAGTGTACTCACTGTCGCACAGCCAGAAGGGCGGGTCGTTGGACACGGCGTGGTGGTGGGTTTACTGTCCGTATTAATGTACTCACTGTCGTACAGCCAGAAGGGCGGGTAGTTGGACACGGCGTGGTGGTAGGTTTACTGTCCGTATTGGTGTACTCACTGTCGTACAGCCAGAACGGCGGGTAGTTGGACACGGCGTGGTGGTGGGTGTACTGTCCGTATTGGTGCACTCACTGTCGTACAGCCAGAAGGGCGGGTCGTTGGACACGGCGTGGTGGTGGGCTTACTGTCCGTATTGGTGTACTCACTGTCGTACAGCCAGAAGGGCGGGTAGTTGGACACGGCGTGGTGGTGGGTTTACTGTCCGTATTGGTGTACTCACTGTCGTACAGCCAGAAGGGCGGGTCGTTGGACACGGCGTGGTGGTGGGTTTACTGTCCGTATTGGTGTACTCACTGTCGTACAGCCAGAAGGGCGGGTAGTTGGACACGGCGTGGTGGTAGGTTTACTGTCCGTATTGGTGTACTCACTGTCGTACAGCCAGAAGGGCGGGTCGTTGGACACGGCGTGGTGGTGGGTTTACTGTCCGTATTGGTGTACTCACTGTCGTACAGCCAGAAGGGCGGGTAGTTGGACACGGCGTGGTGGTAGGTTTACTGTCCGTATTGGTGTACTCACTGTCGTACAGCCAGAAGGGCGGGTAGTTGGACACGGCGTGGTGGTGGGTTTACTGTCCGTATTGGTGTACTCACTGTCGTACAGCCAGAACGGCGGGTAGTTGGACACGGCGTGGCCCAGGCCGTAGTAGTGCCGCGTGTAGGCGTGCTTGACAAAGTGCTGAGGAGGCCCGCCGTACCCGTGGAAAAAGTTCTTGTTCCGGCCGCCAGCTGATGCTCGTGACGTCATCAGTGTTGCGATCACGGCGCAGCACAGCACCTGTAAGAGGGAACGGGGGTCAAAAGGTGCTGAGAGGCCACTGCCGGTGATACGTTCTTTATTATTTTATAGTGATCACCAAACTTGCAAGAATGATCCCTTACGCGTCTTTCCCAAGATTCAGGTCACCAAGAGTCAGCACATGAACCCAATTTTACGAGGGCTGTGCGATGCGTGTTTTATGACCTTTTTTCATTTCCAATCAATTTTGCTGGTCATAAGACCATCAGGAACGGTTTAGGTCACTTCCTGGTGGAGGGCAGGTCAATGTCAGGTCAAAAAAGGTAAAATTTCAAAGTTAATATGTTTGCATAAAATGGGTATTGATTCGATGCAGCTCGTCACGGCGAGTCTAATGGTGGTCTTTGTTTTGCGCTACGTTGTCTAGAATTGCTAAACATTGAGTTTGAATATTTGACGTCATCAATTTTGAAGTCTTTTTTTGCTATAACTTGGCCAAAAAAGAGGTATCGATCTGAAATTTGGTATGTGAATAGAAGTCGGTAAGGGCTAACACATATATTCCGTTTTTTTCGAAAATCGAAAAACATTTTGGATTTTTTGGAAATTATATTTTAAAAAAATATTTTTTTTTGACTTTTGGGGGTTAAAATTCATAAAATTCAAAATTCGGAGATCAAAGTTTTGTAGCCCTGATAATTCTACACCTTTTATGCCTTAAACTTTTTCTGTATCTTCAAAACTATAGGCCTGACAGCTGTTCTCGCGAAATCTTTTTTGGGTCGAAAACGGCAGAACATGACGTCACTCTGACGTCATTTGCGGCCAACCTATCATAGGATTTGGAAAAATTTGGTCACAATGTGTAAAATTGATGCCCGAGAGGGTACTGAAGGTTTGGTCACGATCGGCCGGCGCAGCGGTTCTGGAGATATATCAAAAAGCACACACACCAGGGCGCGGGTCACTTTCAAATGAGCCATTCTGAAAAGAAAAGATTTGCTTCCAATTTATCCAAATTCACACCAGTTCAGTTTTATATGTCAACAAGTTTTAGGTTCACATGGCCATTCCGCAAAAGTGTGTATACGTGTACCTAAACATGAAAAGCGACTGCTCAGTGCTCATAATATTGCCAAAGGGGAAGTTTGATGACAGAACCGTAGGTAGGTATAACCAGAAAACAACAGCATTTTGCATTATTCCATAAAACATTTGGAATTATTGTAACTCATGCGTTGTACATTTCAAAGAAGCAATAGTTTTTTTCACGGTAGTGTTATAAGTTATTTAATCTTGTCATTGGTGATCCGATAACCCAAACTTTGCCTATCAAAACTTCATCAAAAGGAATGTAAGTTTTCGAGCTAACGATATTCATTGCCATTACCGTTATCCTCTTGCTGTCTTTTTCCAAATGTTCACCTATCCTCGTAATAATTACATTTAGTTAAGAATATCTTTCAACCTTAACGTTTGACCCATGCTCCCACAATCCGCCTGCCCCGGGGAGGGGGGGGGGGGGGGTGCAGACCTTCACGTATTTCGCTAATATCTTATAAACGTGTCAAGTCAGCTGCGTAAAACTCGCAGCATACATTATCCTATATTTATTTATTCCACATTTATATGCATTATCCTACAATTTCACGTGTTCCCTGAAAATAGGGGAATTTGTCATGCAATTTTTTTGAAGAAAAAATGTTTTAGCGACGTCGTGTTATGCCCTTTATGCTTCAAAAACTCGAAAGCTTCAAACAGACACGGCTGCCGTACAGAAGATGTCTCCAGAAGCTGTGAGCACACCCCCGACTTTCATCGCCACTTCTGGTTCAACGACGAGGTGCATTTTCAGCTGCAGATGGACATATACCTACACTCAAATGACTTGTCGTGAACATAAAACTTTCAAACAGCAGCCCTGCCCCAGGACCACAGCAGAGCTCCAGAGGGCCGTGATGTTCGTGCAGTGCGCCTAATGCGGTACGAGACCTGTCGCGCCGTGCGCACGGCAACGTGCCAAGCTGTGTCTGGGGTGAAAAAGGGTCACCTGCAATTCGTCCTCCGTGGCCGCTGCTGGCCAACGCGGAGCAGGCGCCGGCACACAAAATGGTATTTATCATTGTGTGTGCTAGGCATTGATTTGCTTTCTTCTTCCTTTCGAATTAATTAATAATTCGAATTCGAATTAATGATTTGAATGGAATAATTTTTCATTCGACCGTTGCTTCAGTAACTTCTGGTGCTCCTCGATTAGCATTGATAACTCTACCTATAACATTGAATTCAAAAGTTTGAAATCCCCTTCAAGGCCATTGATACCAGCAGCTGATTAGGAAATTTGCAATTACTACAGTAATAATTAAACAAACGCTTCCATGTTCTAACACCGCCTTCGGTGCCAGTTTTGGGAAGTACTCACGGTAATCCGAACCCACGCCATGTCGTCTCCTCTCTGTCGGTGCCGCGGGTCGCTCTGTCTCCCCCGCTGCTCTCTCCACCGCCCGGGCTCTGTCAGCTCGGTCCGACCCCGCTAACCAACTCCGGCCCGGTGTGCACTATCAGTCGCTTATATGTGACCCC